CACTATTTGCTGAAGACGCTTTATTTTTTCCATTGTATAATTTTAGCTTCTTTGTCAAAAATCAGGTGTTATTAGGTGTGTGGGTTAATATCTGGATCATCAGTTTGATTCCATTGGTCTACCTGTCTATCTTTGTGCCAATACCAAGCTGTTTTCAGGACTATAGCTCTGTGATAGAGCTTAAAGTCAGAGATGGTGATGCCTCTGGAAGTTCCTTTATTGTACAGAGTTGTTTTGGCTATCGTGGGTCTTCTGTTTTTCCAGATAAAGCTGAGAATTGTTTTTTCAAGGTCTTTGAAGAATTACGCTGAGATTTTGATGTGGTTTGCATCAAAACAACTCTGAGATACCATCTTACTCCTGTCAGAATGGCTAAAATCAAAAACACCAATGACAGTTTATGTGGAGAGGATGTGGAGAAAGGGGAACACTCCTGCACTGCTGATGGGAGTGCCAACTTATACAGCCACTTTGGAAATCAGTCTGGCAGTTCCTCAGGAAAATGGGAATCAATCTACCACAAGATACAACAATTCCACTCTTAGGCATTCATCTAAAAGATGCACATTCATACAACAAGGATATCTGTTCAACCATGTTCATAGCAGAGTTATTTGTAATAGCCAGAACCTAGAAGCATCCTAGATGCCCCTCAACTGAAGAATGGATGGAGAAAATGTGATACATTTACACAATGGAGTATTACTCAGCAGAAAAAAACAAAACAAAACAATGGAATCTTGAAATTTCAGGCAAATGGATGGAACTAGAAGAAACCATCCTGAGTGAGGTAACCCAGTCACAAAAAGACAAAAATGGTATGTACTCACTCATATATGGATTTTAGATCTAGATCAATGAAGTAGCAGCCTACAATCTACAACGCCAGAGAAGATGGGAAACAAGGTGGGCCCTAAGCAAGACATACATGGTCCCCGGAGAAGGGGAAAGGGACAAGACCTCCTAAATGGGAGCATGGAGGGAGGAGAGAGGGATCTAAGAGAAAGAGAAGGGGAGAAGAGGAGAGGAGAGGAGTACAGGACGGAGCAGGAAGATCTAGTCAGGGGAAGAATAGAGAAGAGCAAAAAAAAAAAAAAAAAAAAAAAAAAAAAAAAAAAAAAAGAGATACCAGAATAGATGGAGCCATTATAGGTTTAAAGAAAATTCTGGCACCTGGAAAAGGTCCAGAGATCTACAAGGTTGACCCCAACTAACAATCTAAGCAATAGTGGAGAGGCTACCTTAAATGTCCTTCTCTGATAATGAGATTGATGACTACTTTATATGCCATCCTAGAGCCTTCATCCAGTAGCTGATGGAAGCAGAAGCAGATACCCACAGCCATACACTGAACTGAACTCCTGGAATCCAGTTACAGAGAGGGAGAAGCGGTGAGCAAACGTGTCAAGACCAGGCTGGAGAAACCCACAGAAACAGCTGACCTGAACAAATGATGGCTTATGGATCCCAGACTGATGGCTGGGAAACCAGCATAGGACTGTTCTAGACCCCCTGAAAAAGGGGGTCAGTTTGGATGTCTCAACAATCTATGGGGTCATTGGTAGTGGATCATTTTTTACCCCTAGTACACAAATGGACTTTGGGAGCCCATCCCCCATAGAGGGATACTCTCTCAGCCTAGAGACACTGGGGAGGTTCTAGGTCCTGCTCCAAATTTTATGACAGACTTTGAAGATCCCCATGGAAGGGGATCTTCTGCTCCCTGAGGAGCAGAAAGGGCTTGGGACAAGGGAGCAGGGGAGGAGAAGAGGGAGAGGAAACTAAGATTGAAATGTAAAAGAAGCTTGTTTCTAATTTAAATTTAAAAAAAATGAATTCTGATTCTAGCCCCAATAAATTTCTTGGGGCTAGAGAGATAGCCCTAGGGTTAAGAACACAGTCTGCTCTTCCAGAGAACTGGTTTATTCAGCATCTAGCATCCACGTCAGATGGCTTACAACCTCCTGGAACATCAGTTGCAGGGATCCTACGCTCTAGACCACTTGGCTACCCATCATCCACCCACACACATACATGTGATTAAAAATGAAGAGTAAATCTTGTGAAAAGAATTCTGAATTCCTGATATTTCTTATTTACATCCAAAGAGTGTATTGTGTATTGGGCACTATTGCTCTGTTGAGAAGATAAATAGCATCCAGAGAGGTGTCATGGAATTTGCTATAGAACCCTACAATTGCTTCGGTGAATGAAACTGTAGCGATGTATTAGTTAACACAGGCTGAAATGGGTGAGATGCTCAGCAGGAAAAGGTACTGGCCATGCAAGCCTCAATATGATCCCAGGGACACACATGAAGGGGGAAAAGAGAACTGACTCCCCAGAGTTGCTCTCTGACTTACACACACACACACACACACACACACACACACACACACACTAATAACAACAATACAAAAATAACATTCTATAGGTTACAATATAAAGTTAGTAACACAATTGACATAGTTTCTGTTTTAATTTTAAAGCATCAGACCATACTCATTAAAAACTAGGTAAACTCCTAGAAACACGTAGTTCACAATGCATCCTGACATTTCGTTAGGAACAAGGTTGAAGTGTGATTCTTTTTTCACAGCCTTCATCCGAGATAGCAGCAGGTACTAGATTTCTTGACATGGTTCAGTAAACTTGGCACTTCAGTCCTTTCCAATTGAGTTAAATGTGCTTTAAATAGATGGATGTGGCCCTATGGATAGATCTCATTTCCGTCCTAAGAACTTCAAATGAAATTACACACTTGCTCGCTGATGTTAGAAAGGTCTCAAAGATATTCTGTCAAGTTCACGTGTTTTCAAGGGACTCGATGTCTGGTTTGCACACACTCCCCCCCACAGACGGGTCCCCTGAGAGGATTACCAAGTGACATTTTGTATTCCGTGACCTCTCAGCTGCGAACACATGTTCAAAAGGAAATGAGGAGTGATTTCCGACTTCTCTCCACCAATTTCCTCACTTTTCTCTCCTTTACACATGGGCACTTTTAAGCAGTGTAAATTGAGTTTGTCTCCACCCCTTTCTCAATTCAGACCTCTCTCCTGGTGAGATCTTTATCTCCTTACTGCAGAGAACATGATCCTTCTCTCTGATTTGCATCATTATCTCTTTCACTACCACTTAAGAAAATGCTACTGGTTTTTTAAATAAATTCACTTAAACTTGCTATCTAATCGGTAGGGCGTTTCAAAACTCAGATAAACTAAAGGAACCAAATGCAGCTACCATCATCTTCCTGATATCACTTACACTTTGAAGATAAGCGAACTCATCCAGTAATCTGAGCTAAATCTCCAACAGCTTTGTCCCAGGCTCTTTGCCTCCCCTCAGATTTCTATTTAATTGATACCTCAATGCAAAACTACTTTCTCCATCAAATCAAAGTGAGCAATTTCTCATCTAGCATTTTAACACATTTTTGTTGAGCTGTGAAAAGATAACATGAGATCAGTCCTCCTAAATATTTAAGGGGCCATGATGTGGTGCTCCATACTGTGAGCTTACATACAATGATGTAAACCGTAAGTGCAGTGTCATACAGATCTCCAGCACCCACTCATGCATATTCTTAAACAGAAAGAATTTCTCTTTAACTTCAGAAGGATCGTCCTATTAACTATCAGTACTGTATATACCGTGGAAGGAAACAATGACTTTTGATCTGTACAAAGGAAGGGAAAAAGGAAGGGAAAAAAAAAATAAAAACACGTGAAATTTTGGAAAGGTGACAACAGTATTGGAAAGAGTGACGCATTTCCCATGATATTTTTCTTTTCACTAAAAAGGACCAAATATGTTTTGATGCCTGCGCTCTCAACTGGAAGAGAAATCGCTGAGAGAGTAAGCCAACTTGAGCAACAGCAAATTTATTTATAACCAGTGACAACCCAAATCCATAAGTTTGTAAAAGAATGTGATTGTTGTCCGAAGGAATCGGTCCCAGGGTGCTGCTGCTCAGCTCGGGTTGCACTCCGCTGTGGCTGTGGAGTGTAGGGAGGTCCTCTGAAGGCTGGTGGGCACAGACCAGCAGAGAGAATTCTGCATACTGTACGGATCATCGCTCAGTTCAGGGCAGTCACATCGCATCTGCGATCAGCCAGCGTGCTCTATGAAACCGTCAGTCCTCATTTGTGTCTGGCTGTTTTCTGTCCAGCTGTAAACAAGGCCAGCTCAAGTTGTCTCCCTATCTTTATCCACATGGGCAGATCCCACAGTCAGAAGGCGTCAGAGACCTCAGAGCTCCACTTGCTTCTTGCATACAGCAGTTCTAGGGCACACTGGGTGGTCATAAAGAGAAGCCACTTCTGGGTGACAGGGTCCTCGGTTCCTTTTCAAAAACACATGCCTTTGATTCCTACAGAAGCTGGCTCGCCGTGGCTCTTCCACAAAATGAAATTGGGTTTTTCCTAGTAGAGCAATTGGATTGGAGGGGCGGGTGTTGTTTTGTTTTGTTTTGTTTTGTTTTGTTTTGTTTTGTTCCAACAGACAAGCTCCACACATTCATTGGGTCTGGAGTGGGGGTGGAGATGGCGGTGAGCATTCTGTTGTTTCACTGCTCCGGGGCTTCACGTGAATCAGTCAAAAAAGACACAGATAGAAGCACTATCAATCTGCTCCAACTCCAGGCAGCTAACCATTCTGAACTGCTTTGGGGCAAGGAGGATTTAGGGTCCACAAAGAGGAGCAGGTACCTTTACAACACATCAGAGCTGGAGAGTGGTTCTGCAGGACCTTCCCTTCAGTAAGAAAAAAAAGAAGGGGGTAGCACACTAGAGGGCCCTTCCCTGGCAAGTGGCATGGAGGTGCAATTTAGCACGGTCACTCTATTGAATCCCCCTAGCCAGCTGGCCTGTGCCTGTTTATACGTTCCTCCATGAACCTGTTTTGTTCTCCCAGTCTATTGCTTTGTCAATGTAAAGACAAACAGCCGCAGTGAAAAGCCTGCAATTTGCACCTGTCTGCTCTGAGCATTCTGTGTCATA